TGTTTTTCTCTGTTTAATAAATGTGTCCGAATAATGTGTCAGCTGAGGTAGCTGTGTGATTAGTTCTGCAAAGCGTGTCTTTGCTGGTCAATGCATCAGTTTTTCTGCATGCTCGATCATGCTCAATATTCACATGGCTTTCGCCGAGTGACATTTTTTAGCCGCATTACGTAGGTTACTCTGAACATAAAATGAGAAATGTTGAAGTAGTAGCTGAATTTAAGTTAATTCTGTGTTACAAATACAGAGGTCCGCTAGGGCATAAAATTTTTTTACAGATAAGCACTACTATGAGTGACGAACATAAGATAAATTGAGTTTGATTACGCTAACAGAGTTTTGTAATAATGTATTTTTCCCTTTGTTTTTTGGATGTGTTATTTTCTTTCTGTAGGCGTGTTGAGGTTTTCTTATTCATTGCGTTACTGGTGAGCGTAGGTTGATTATAGCGCTGAGGGTGTGAAATGAAGTACACACAGTATACGCCTATGCTATTCGCTTCTGTAGCATTGGGATATTAAAACTGCTATTCATTTTGCTTTTCAGCGACTCAAAAGAAAGAGCCATCGAAGCACTGTCAAAGATAGTTGGTGCTGCAAATATGCCAACATTTCAGGCTATTTTTGAATAAGGCACTTCACTGAGCACGAAATATGGTGAGTTTTAATTTTGCGCTTCTCTTTAGTGCACGACGAAAGGTGGATTCGTACGCACAAAGTGCCTAAGCACCAACGAGAAACTGCTGATATTTCTTGTACAATATACATGAATTGTTATGTGGAACTTCATACTCTTCTTTGTTTTTCTTGTTAAGCGATCCCTTTCCAAATTCGAGCATGACGTTTGCAAGAATAGTATAATGTGCCCGAGAAGGAGGAAGTGATATGTTCATTTTAGCGCTGAGGGTGTACCAAAATCGAAAGGAGAAAATGCGAAAAATAAGCACACATTCGCAAGCCCATATCGGCTAAAACGCACAGTCGCATTGGTCTTCTGGAAGAAGCCTTTATTTTTTTTTTTTTT